TACTATTGATATCTAGTGGGTAAGAGAGGAAGATACTATAAACATCCTATAATGCCATGATATCCCTCCAACAACAAAGAAATTTTCTGGTCGAAGGTTCAGAATGACAAAGGTATATTTTCTCATCATATGTGGAGGATAGATCCAAATACAAATACAAGTGTTATCATATTTACATATATACATAGAACACAATTTCCATAGTGGGACTATTAGAGGAGACTAGGGGAGAGGAAAAAGAAGACAATGATAGAGAATGAATAATATTGAAATACATCTGTGTAGGAACAAGACACAATGAAACACATTGAAAACTGCTGCATAATAGGGGTAGAGGAAAAGGGATAGGGAAGAGTAATAGAGGGGGTTATACTAATTAAAGTATAATATATTTACAGGTAAAGTACCAAGGCAAAACCACACTGAACAAGATGAACAGACACTTAAACAATGAAGACAGGAATATAGAACAAGTCAATTAAGGATAGGGCACTAGTGGGAAGAAGAGGGTAAATGAGGAGGATAAAAATGGTGAATATGGTTGATGTATTTTCCACACATGGATGATATGGAACAGTGAAATTTGTTGAAGTCATTTTAAGAAGGGGAAAGGAAGAGGGAGAATAATGGAAGGGATTGAACCAAACTGGGGTAATATTATATGTATGTGTGGAAATATCACAACATTTGTACAACTATTATATACTAATAAAAATGTTTAAAAAAAAAGAAGAATTGCCTGACCCAAAATGTCAATATGTTCGCTACTATGAGATGGCCAGAGGCACAACATCAAACAGCTCACAATGGACTTTTGCCAGGGTGACAAAATGAAAATCGGAGAGAATACAGGACTTCTTGAATTTTTTTTTACCACTATATACATGCCAGGTAATGCTCACATGCCCATGTAACTTGGCACTGAGCACCTTTCTTTCTCATTCCAGTGAGTGAGAGGTTTGATCTTATTGGAATAACTTTAAATTTGACCTAGTTGATATTTTGTAAGGAAATCATTTGTAAACATCAATACTTGATTAATCACAGCATTGCTTCGGATCACAGCTGATCAAATCAGCAACCAGGCAAAACTAAAGTGCAGAATCACTGCCTCGGGCACTGCTATAAGGGAGAAGGTGCAATAGCATTTTTCTGCCTCTTAAAGATCAGTGACCTCCAATCCAGACATAAACACACAAAAAGCAACTCCTCCCAACAGGAAAATCAGGAGTCACCAGTTTGACAGAACTTTCTCCTCTACAGTCCTCTAGGCTAGAAATTTTTCCCTAGCAAAATGATTCAGCCTGCCATCACTTTTAATTCTAGTCCCACTACCTGCCCAGTTTAGAGAACCTAGAGTCTTTAAGTGCAAAATATAAAAACAAGCCCAAATCATGTTTAATACCCAATGTACATTAAAAATCATGATAGCAAAATTTTACCTATACTAAAAAAGAAAAGTCCATTTTTCAAATAATGTGTATTTTTGCTGCTTCATTCCCATTTCTTCCCAGGTCTTTATGGTCTACCCTTGCCTCATTAGTGCTGTCTCTCCTACCACAGTTCAGCAATTGGAAGGGGGTTGTTATTTGGAAGCAGAGAACAAGTACCAAACAGCAGCCAAGCTGAACTACACCAAATTGGAGAGTCTGCCCTCTTGTTGGTTTTCAATTGAGAAAATGGGATTTCATTATAAAGACAATGCCCGTGAAAGTGCTTGGGAAGGAAATCGCACTTCTAGTATAGTATTCCACAGATTCAAACAATGTGGCTGAGAAGAGAAATAGGATTTTGTGATAGACAAGTATTAAATGGATCTCCACTGAGAATTTAGTCCACATTGCATATTTCTGGAAGGATGCAACAGAAACCAGTAGTAGTAGTGGCCTCTAGAGAGAATGACCCAAGTATAAAAGAGGGCAGAGGAGGGAAAGCAGCCTGCTCTTTCACAGTATATTTTTTTAGTTCCTTTTGAATTCTGAACGATGTACATGTATTGCCTGTTCGTTAAAATATTGACTTTTTCAAAAAGCAAGCGAATGTTCATAAAAAACACTGTTAGTGAATCCCCAGTTTCTATCCTTGACTTAGTCTCCTTTTGTCTGTATAGTCATAGGATGCCTGAAATTTAAAAACAAAAACAACAACAAAAACCCTCAAATCTATTGGGAAGCTTTAAAATCTACCTGAACTTGATGATCCCACCCATAGACACCTCAAAGACAACATACCCAAACCCAAGTCTTTCTCTTCCCTCCTTCTTTCCTTCCCTCCCTTCCAAGCTTCATCCTCTTTCAATATTCTCAGTCATTATTAGAAATAACTACCTAGTCAATTTTCCAATAAAAACTCTAACATTTATGGAAATGTCATGGTGAAACCCCTTACTATATACAATTTAGTATATGATAATTTAAAATACATAAAGTGGGGATAATAATAAAAACATAAAACTTTAGAATTACTTTAGGGGCTCTCCCTCTCCTTGTCCCTAGTGTAGTCACCAACTATTGTTAATTCCAGCTCTATGGTTGAAGGGAACATCAAATTGGTGCCATCCTGCACTGTCCCACTGACTTTTCTTAGCTCAACACTTTATAATCTACATTCCTTCACTGTAATATGAGCTAGTTATATCTTAACCATTCTCCACACTTCTGCAGCCCCCAGTCATCTTTCTCGAATACACTTTTTCTGATACTGCTTCAGAAGTTTCAATAGCTCCCATTCCCTAAAGAATGAAGTCCACATTACCTGATTTGACAAATGACCATTTACAATGTACACTGAAGATACATTTCAGTCCTAATACATAAACTGTACCCTGACCACTCTGTTCTATCAGTCCTTGCTCATTGACTCCTCCTGCACACTTTCACAACTTTGTGCTTGTTGCTTCCTTGCCTTGCCTTGCCTTCCTTCCCATCAAGACCTTGTTGGAAAATTAAATTTCTATTCACCTTTCAAAACTTCCATTCAGATGATACTTTCACTGAAAAGTCTTTCATGACTGGTCTGTCCTCTGTGTTCCCCGAACACTCTGTGCATACCTGGACAATACTCCTAACCATACTCTTCCCTAATTATTTATGTTTCTACCTCCCTTGCCAGAATGTGAGCTGCCTTTAAAAAAAAAAAAAAGCTACTATATTTTATTTATCTTTAAATCTCTGTACCTCCCTGGTAACATCACACATAAAATATTGCTGAATGAATTGGCTGAAAGTACTTTGTAAAAACGTAACACATTATCCCAAAATTTATAGACCTCTGTGGCTTAAATCTCATTTCTTTGCCCTTTCTCTCTGCATACCTATTGGCACACTCTCAGGGTCTCAGGAGGACCAGTTATTCAAAAGGAATAACAAAGTGCCTGCTATTTGTAAACAGGGCCATTTGTAAACCCTTTGGGCTAGATTTAGAGATTGCCTTTCTAACTCTGACAATACTCCTTTGAGCACTCACTTCTCTCTAAGAAGCATTTCTTTTCCAAATGTCTTGAGTCCTATAAGTAACCTTTGTATTACCCTGCAAACACTTCCAAGGAAGCTGAACAGAGCTGAAAACAACTTAGTGACCTGCAGGCGACCCACTGGCCAGTGACTCATGCCAGCCTAGGAGAGAGAGGGGGGCTTCAGAGACTCAGTTTCTAATCCCTACCTACTTCCTCTGCTATCAGCTACTTAACTGCTTGAAAACCTTGAAGGGCTTCTCTGCTCCCCAATGGCAACAGTGGCAGTCCATTAATCACTAGCTTATTCAAGTAAAAAGCATCAAATAGCAAGGTGCAACCCAAGTGACTTAAAGAACAGTGGGTGAGAAATTAGGGTAAGATTAGGGTGAGCCACTCATTTGAATGGAGCCCAAGGGGCAGGGGACATGGCAGCCCCAGCTTTTAGGTCTTTTCTTTTGCTGCTGTCTTGGCTTAGAATTCTCCATCCTGAAAAACTCATGTTCAGATCTCTGCTCAAATGTTGCCTCCCAAGAGGCTTTCCTTGATAATTCAAGCCAAAAAAGCAACACACATGACTCTCCATCTCCTCCCCCTAATTAATGTCCTCACAGCATTCTTTGATACTTTGTGGTGGTACTTATACCTGATACCATCTGTCAGTATGTGTACCCTATTCATCCAGAAGACCAGGGATGTTATCTGTTATAAACATTTCCAAGCATTCTAAGTACCTAGTAGACTCCAATAAATGTTTGTTACATTTTTTAAACCCTACAAATAAATAGATATAGGCATTAGTCAGTTGGAGACTGTATAGTTCATACTGATAAGGCCAATGATTAACACATGGGGGTTCACAGTTTATCCCCACTGCCCACCATGATAGAGCAGTAAGATGATGCCTTTTAGCTCCTGTGCCTACTCTTAGCCCACTCATTGTCCAGGAGAGAATGAATTTAAGCCCCAGTAGAGGATTCTCTCAAGGAAAGCCAATAGGCAAAGAAGAATCATAAATCTGGATAACTGGAGGTGATGGCAGGATTGGAAGAATGTTCAAGAAACTAAGATGGCAGAGAGAGCATAGCACAGGTGCTGAGTTTGGGGTGATGAAAGGATGGGAAATTAGTAATGAGTTGCTTTGGGGTTGTGTGTGTGTGTGTGTGTGTGTGTGTGTGTGTGTGTGTACCTCCTGAACCAAGAGGGGTCTTCCAATGAGAGGCACATGTGTGTCCCCTGGTCAGTGTTTATCCCTCTGTTCCTTTCTTCATTAGGAGTAGAGATCTGGCCAAGCAGAAAGTTCAGTTTGGGATAAAGTTAGAGGAGAGTCTGAGCAAGAATATCAGAGGTGCTGTGTGCCAGATGAGGAGTCTGATTCTTCAAGGGACCTTCTTCTTTCAGATAGTGCTGTGACCCCTCACTGGCCAGAGAGATTAATTTCATCTCTCTGGAGGTAAAAAAGGAACTAAGATACTTTTAAGTCAAGTGAGCATTACCATTTCACAGTGAAGTGGTCTCCACCCAGCTTCACTTTAAATTGGGTACTCACGGTTCTGGAGTGTAGAGGGGTCTGAACCGTGCCGGACATACTGAGTACAGTGGAGACACTCTGTAGCCAGTCCTGCCAAAAAATCTCGTGGGCTCAGGTAGCCAGCCACTGGCCTCACCGTGAAGCCAGACTTCTAAAGAGACAGAAAGAGCCAAATGAATATTAAACTCAGGACCTGAGGCCCACACAGGATTCCTATTATTTATAAGGATGTTCCAAAAACAAAGTAATCAAGGTTCTAAAACTCCTGACAACTGAATGACATATCCTGTTAACAGCCCCATGTTTAGGGCTTCTGATGACTAAAATTTCTCATGAATGATGGTTTCCAGGGAACAAGCCTTCACTAAAAGGGAAAGAAAGGTAAAATATATTTAAAGATTTAAATTGAGAAGCCAAATTAGAATAAGAATCCCCAAATATCCAGGAGAAGATTACAATCTAAAGTGGCGCTTACCACATTACCTGGTCTCTCTAAAGACACACCTGGGAATCTACTCTATGTGCATGTTTTTCAGTAGCACACAGCTAAGGTACCCCTTCACAAATGTTTTGGAATCATTCTAACTACAGCTTTCTGTCAATACCCCTAACTCCATCATGTATTGTTGATTTTGTGATATTATATTAATTACTGCAATTTGAAAAGTACACTGAAGCTCTCCATGCTTTACTGGTTTATGGTAGGAGGAAACAAAATAAGAATACAATAAAACCTATGAAAGAGCTGTGGTTCATCAGTGTCCTCAATTTAAAGGCTACTAAATACTTCCTTCTCATGAAATCCAGAAAATTTACATGTTTTATTTTTAATATACATTTTATAAAAATTCCTATATATTTGAAATGGATTCCTTTATTTTTGCTTTCTTCTCACAAGAAACGTTCTTTTAGTGAAAATTGTATATATTTAAAGTGTAAGACATATTTCAGTAGACATAACCACAGTGAAATGATCTCTATCATCAAGCTAATGCATTCATCTCCCCATATATTGTGTGTTAAGAGAACATAATATAACTCTTTCAGCAAATTTCCATATTAATACAGTATTACTTGCCATAAGCATCATACTGTAAAACAGATCTCTAGACTTATTCAATATGATAACTGCAACTTTATACTACTTTAACCACCATCTCCCTATTCCCTCACTCCTCTGGTAATCATCTACTATTGTCATCTCTATGTATTCAGCATTTTTAGATTCCACACATAAGTGGGATCATAGAGTACTTGTCTTTCTGGTTTTTGGCTTATCTTAATGTAGGAAGGCTAGTCTTATTTCTGATCAGCATTGCACAGGTTCCCATTCTGAAACTTCAATTCATTAGGACAGCACCCCAGAATGGTAGGAACGGTATTAAAAGGCAAGATCCAACTTAATAATAGCTTTAGAAATAATACTGTTTCAGGTCTCTCCAACCATAATTCTAACAGCATTATGTTCACTTCAAAAGCTTCACTTTGGATTATTCCCATTGAATATCAAAAATAAGTGTATTTTCTTCTTTTCTATAATTACATCAGTTAAGCCAGCATATCCCACAGGTGGAATAGGAGTGGTGGTACACAGAGGAACATTTTTTATATTTTAATAGTTATGTATTTCATTTTTATGTAAGTTAGAAAAATATAAAACTATGACATCAAGACCTTTGAATTTGTATATCTCATTGCTTTTGTTTTAAATAAGTCACGTGTGTTTAAAGTGAGTAAAAAGAAATCAAAACACCTGCACTTGCATTGTTTTTGCTATGTATCAATGATAATACAAACTGAGCTCCATACTGCCTTTTGTGAAATTTTAACTTGGGAGACAGATATGGCAAAAATTATGAGACAGTTTTCTAATTAATAGGGCTTGAGAAACAACATAGTAAAATGTAAATCCCACATATGAGCAATAGGTCCCAGGATTAATATGTAGTATGTGAGGAAAAAAGAGGACCATGACCGGTCCATGAGGGAGAATATAATCTAGTTGAACAACAACAGAAGGCATTATGAAATTAGGTGCTAATTAAGTGATACTTATCAGTAGCTCTTAATCTCTTTTCCTAACAAATACAGTATGGGGATAATGTTTGCACTTGGGACCTCCTCCTCAGGCATAGTCACAGTGTTATATGTGGTTCTCTGTGTACAAGCTTAAGCCCACACAACACCTCTCTCCTGACACACACAGGATATAGAATGAAATCAGAGGAGGGGAATTTGTGGTGACTATTATGGTCAAGATTCATGCAGGAGGCAGGACTTGCTCTGAGTCTTGAAGAAAGGTAGAATTTGAGTAGGTAGAAAAGATGGTTTTTCTAGTAAGGGACAGAATTTAAACAAAACTACAGAGTCTACAATAAAAACAGACAACATATGCAGGGAAGTCACAGCAGGAGACAGTTTAAAAGAGTTGGGTCAGGTCTTTGAATCTTCCTGTTTTTGTACATCTAGGAGAAGGTTTTTATGTTTTTTAATGAGCACATTTAATGGATATATAAATAACCACATAATATCCTTGATTTTTGCCTCTTGTCCCTATAACCTAAATACTTATCTAGCCCTTTACCAAAAAAGTTTGCCAAACCCAGCAAAAATACTGGGAGTCACTGATAGTTTCTGAGCAGAGAGGTTAGGAAGAAAGTAATGTTTTAGGTAATGTTTTAGAAAGGAATGTTTATAAGCAAGCAGTGGGCAAGAGCCAGTGGGAGAAAACATAGGCATCCAGGTGGCAAAATAATGGGGGCCTCAATGTGGGTGGTGGCAGTGGACAAGGGCAGATTTTGAGAGTGTCACAAAGCTAGAAGTGACAAGCTAGCAGACTTCTGGTTGGAGACTGTGGTAGGCTGAATAACAGCCCTCCAAAGATGTACACATTTGAATTTGTGAATATACTACATTACTTGGAAAAATGGACTTCACAGATGTGACTAAATTAAGGATCTTAAGATGGGAAGATTATCTATGTTGGGATGCTATAATCACAAGGGTCCTTATTAAAGCAAAGCAGAGGGTCAGTCAGAAAAGGAGATCTGACAATGGAAGCAAGAAACTAAAGTGAAGTAAGAATAAGGTGTTAAGCCAAGGAGGGCAGGTGGACTCTAGAATCTGGAAAAGGCAAGGTTACAGAAGCCTCAAGATGGAATACAACCCTGCAACCCTTGGTTTTAGACTTCTGATCTCCAGAACTGTAAGTTAATAATTTTTGTATTCTTTTAAGTCACAACAGTTAGTGATAATTTTGTTGTAGCAAAAATAGGTTACCTAGTAATAAAAAGACTAAT